AAAAAACATAAATTTGTTATGTTTAAATTGGTATGAGTCAATTTCTGAAAGAAAAACGGTAACCATAATATAGTTGATGGAAAAGCGAAGTGCGAGAACAGCGCGATCATAACAAAGTGGTATCAAAGCTGTCTATAACATTATTTGTTAAAAATAATGAATTGATATATAATATAATGCGTCAGAATTACTTTTGAAATTACTTGTTGCAAAGAAGTAAAAAGCAAATATAAGCATTGAGACTAATCTATTCCCGATTCCAGGAATTTTTATACTTCATACTTTGTCAAAAAGAAAGCTAAACATAAAGTGGTGGTGTTTTGAATAAACTAGCTGAGGGTGTCCGTTAGGGCCTTTTTCCTGAATACATTCAACAATGTTAATTGTACTCAGTTTCGTCTGTGTTTATTTCTAATCTTGATGTTATTCCTGGCTCCAAAATTCCAGTGTATTGAACTCTTCTAGTGTAATCACTCGTACTTTTATGTGTAATACTGATAAGTTCGCTGTCTTTGCATATATAACATTGCAGTTGTTGGATATACAAGACTGTTTAACTTAAGAGTTACTATTTACTTTATTTAACGATTTAATATGTAATCGTCATTTAGTTTTCATAACAAATGTTCAAAAGTTAATTATTGTAAAAGCAATAGTTACGACAAGTTTTGTTACGTAACTCTAAAAAGAGTCGTACGTTGTGTATGCAGTTTAACTGTTGTACTAGGCCTTTGTAATATTTTTACGTCATCTTCCTCGAAGCTTTTAAGTTTTTATCGTTAGCTATGATATTGTTGCTACTAGAGAACTAGATATTTCTGTCACTTATTACAGAGCATAGACAGAGAAGAGAGGAAAAAAGACTAAAAGAAGAAAAGGAAAGAGAAAAACTAAAAGAAGAAAATGAGAGAGATGAGAGATTGTAAAGAGAGAAAGAAGAAAAGGAAGAGAAGAAAATGAGAGAAAAGAGAGACTGGAAATAGAGAAGAAAGAATAATAGCACAAACTGAGAAAGAAGAAAAGGAGAGAGAGGGGAGAGCTGGGAAATAGAGAGAATAAGAGCACAAACTGAATCGCCAAACTCGCCAAACAGAAAGAGTTAAGACCCATGAATGGCAATGGGGTCAGGGCTAGCCGACCTAAGCTGCCCAAATTTGATTAATAGAAAGACGACATGGATGCTTTTCTGGAGAGATATGAAAGATTCACCCAAAGTCAGAACTGGGACAAAGGCAATCTGGGCAGTCTGTCTCAGCCCACTTCTCACAGGAAAAGACCTACAAGTATATGCAGGCATGATGCCAGAAGATACCATGGACTATGAAAAGTTAAAAGTGGCCTTACTGAAATGCTACGAACTCACCGAAGAAGCTTTTCATCGAAAGTTCAGAGAAGTCAAACCTGACACTGGAGAACTGGTATTTCAATTTATGACACATATACGGCGATACTTTACAAGATGGATTGACATGGCCAAGTGTGAAAATAGTTTGAGGGATTACAGATCTACTAATACATGAACAGTTCCTGATCACGTGCTCAACTAACATGTCACTGTTCCTAAAGGTAAAGAAGAGAGCACCAAGAAATGTAGACGAGATGACCAAGCTGACATAACAGTATATGGAAGCCCATGGAGGAAGTATAACTGGCAAGTCCAAGAATAACCAGTTAAAGTTGAAAGCAGGGTGGCTGATCAGAAACAGGATTCCACCAAAGATGGCAAGAACTCAACAGACAAAAGGGAGAAGAGATATTATATTTATTACAAAATGGGGCACATCGAAAATGAGTGCAAATCCATCACCAACAGCAGAAATTTCAACATAAAGCAGCTGGAGCCACCTACAAAAAAAAGAGCTGGCAAGTAACAAGAAACGAATAACTATCATCATGAATGCGGTTGTCAGAAGAAATACAGAATCAAGAAAACGCATCAGATCCACCACAAGAAGGAAGTGCTATTTCTATGATTAATCAGTGCATGACTAATGATCAGCTCAAGTTAGAAAATGGGTCAATAGTACCAGTGGTGATCATAGCCTTTGGCAAACATCAAGAGCTGCCAACAAAACATAACACGCCAATAGGTGAAGGCTATGTTTGGGACAAGAATATAAAAGTCCTATGAGACACTGGGTGCAGCAGTGCAGTAGTGAGAACCAGTCTAGTATCTGAAGATCGGATGACAGGCAAGGTAAACCCTTGTCTGCTAATTGATCGGACAGTTGGAAAGTTTTCCATGGCAAAAATAAAGGTGGATACTCCATACTATGTGGGAGACCTTGAGGCCATATCTATGAAGGCACCAATATATGACTTGTGGGTTGGAAACATACTAGGTAGTTCAGTAGAGTAGATGTGAACTTGATCAGACCACTAGCACCTGTTTCTGACAAGGGCAACAGGTATGTGATAACATTAATTGACTATGTGACACGTTATCCAGAAGCCATGGCACTGCCAAAAAAAGAGAGAGAGTATAAGAAGCTCTCCTGGAAGTGTTCTGTAGAGTAGGCTTTCGAAAAAAAGTCCTGAGTGACAGAGATATCTAGTTTACCACAGAACTGATACAAGAGGTGTACAGACTTATCAGTACTAGGCAGCTCTTTACCACCCATACAACCCTAAATATAATGGACTTTGTGAGAGAGATAATGGGGTTAAAGATCCTGCTGAAGAAGATGTGCCAAGAGAGACCACGTGACTGAGACAGGTGCCTGCAGGCATTATTGTTTGCTTATCAAAAAGTCCTGCAAGGAAGTACAGGATTTTCACCATTCAAGTTACTTCACAGAAAAACAGTACCAGATCTGATGCAGATATTGAAGAAGCTATGGAAGGGGAAGAAGAGTCAGAAGTAAGGAATACATACCAGTAAGTGTTAGACCTCAAAAACTAACTGGAGGACAAGAAGGCCAAGGATTGATCTTTCAAGGTCAAACAAAAAGCCTTAGTTTGCTACCAACAAACAACAACAAACTCACCCTGCAGTAGAAAGAAACTTTTGAAGTAAAAGAAGTAGTCAAAAGAATGGGTTGAAAGGTGAAACTGGAAGGGATGACAAGATCTACAACGCCAATCTGTTGAAGAGGTACTTTAAGAAGAGGAAGACATAACGAGTACAGCTATTAAGGTACAGATGGATGTGGCAGGTGTGGCTGTCATAGACGTAGAACCAGAAGATTATAACTTTGTTATAGAAGATAAAGACCGACTAGACTTAAGACCACTGTGTGGAAATGAGACATACAAAGATGTCAGCATCAGTGAAGAACTGATTGACAACAAAAAGAAATATGTACAAGATCTACTGTACCAGTATACAGATAAATTAGGCAAGACAGATCTCATGCAACACAAGATCAAGAGGAAGATAAGGGGCCCAGTCAAGGTGAAACCCTACCAAATGCCCTATGCGAAGAGAGACCAACAAAGGAACTGCAAATGTGGATGCAGGCTATATGAGGAGACTTTGTATATGAACTGGAAATAGTCTTTGTATATAGTATAAATAATATTGTAAATATTTTCCTTGAAGAGAGGTTTATTGTTGGATATACAAGACTATTTAACTGAAGATTTATTATTTAGTTTATTTCATTATTTAATATGTAATGATCATTTAATTTTCATGATAAGAATTAAAAGTTAATTATTAGCAAGTTAATTAAAGCAATAGTTTCGACAAGTTTTGTTACCTAAATCTGTAAGAGTCGTTTGTTATGTATGCAGTTTAATTATTGTACTAGGCTTTCATAATATCGTTAACGTCATCTTACTCTAAGCTTCTAAATTTTCTTACTATGTGTAATATTGTTGCTACTAGAGAGCTAGATATTTCTGGATTTTTCTGTAGCATGTTATAAATACGTGCAGATACAGAAGAAGTTAGAAGAAGTGAAGTTAGACTGCGTGATTGTAAGTTTAGCCGTAATGGGCGATATCTAAAGTGAATTTCACAGTGGTATTGTTACAACAGAAATAAAGAAAAAGAATTTGTCTTGTCAAAGGGTGTTTTAAAGTAATTAAACTCGCCTGTGTAGACTTTGACGAAAATAAGACAATTATTTAAAGCTCTGGATACAACTGTGGTAACCCACAGGGTAACGTAAGTGAATTTATCGCTGATTCTATTGTGAGAAATAGAAATAGAGAAGAAATGTTCATCTTGTCAGTTGTGTCCTAAAGTAATTGAACCAAACTGTGTGGACTTTTGACAAGAAAAGAGATTTATTTAAGCACCTTTTCAGTGATTGCTGACACTTTCTCTCATGTTACTAATTTTAAGCTTAAATACGACACTGGATGGTCCATGTCATCCTCACCTAGTTGACTCGGCATTACCCCTATAGCTGTATCGGACACATTAGTTTACACAATGGTGGCTAGCATCTTTTTATAGTTATATAAGATTGATTGTTTACGAAGTGTCTTTTTTTTATTTCCTAAAAGTTCTTTGACTAGCCTCATGCCACAAAACACGTTTTGGTTTTGATTTACATGTAAATGCTTTGAAACGTCCAAAGAAAAATCTTAATCCTTTCTTTGTTATAGATTTTGCCCAATCTCTAATAGCTTTTACCTTTGCATCTACTGGAGCAATCGATCCTTTACCCACCATTACTCTTAGCATGGCCTTAATTTGTCTGTACTTCCAATCTCATTGTATGCTGTTAATGCCTTTCCAGGTAATGCGAGAATTTCTCAGATATCATGTAGCTGCCATTACTCTACTCATGTACACAATAGGCTATTTGTGCTATGCCCACCATGGGTATCGAAAACTGAATTTTAGCGTTCTAAAATTTCAGATTTGCCGCTGTGCCACTTGGAGCTTTACTAATGCTAAATTAGTATTTATAAAAACAAATCTCGCAAATACATATCTAGAATGAATAGCACTGAGAATATATTTAAAGTTTCATATCTGGAATGAATAGCTTCGAGATTATATTTAAGAATTTTAATGGTTTTTTAACAATAGATGGCAGCAAGAGCGTAATTACTGTTTGGCTTTGTTTCAAGTTGTTCAGCTAAGTTTTCTGTTTAGGTTATTGATCTATTGTGTGAAGTTCAGCTGTTTAGTAAGTTAGAGTGAAACAATTTTAAATGTTTGTCAATATAACGTTTAATATTATTTTTTATAGTAACTTTTATTATGTTTGATTAAGTCATAATTAATTATAATATAGACTGCCTAGGCTCTAGCACTGATGTTCGTTGGCACTGCGTAACCCTAACCCGGCTGCGGTTGCGCTAAACTGAAGTGAAGATTAAAATAGAGTAAACAAATATGTAGTTTTAATTTGCCAATATTATCTAATCACTCGTTAAGCAAAGGAGCGACTTTACTGGTGGAGGGGGGCTTTCTTAGGCTGAAGCTACCCAAAAATGTGCCTTAGCCTCTCTCAGTGGTTGTACTTATTTAAGTTGTAGCCCTGTACCCAACGAATAGTACATTCTCACTCTCAGTTTCGAATTCATTGACGAGGAACCCACTTTGAGACTAATAATGCTGATACGGCTTGATGGTAAGTGAAGAAAACTTAATAATAAGTTAGTAACATAACAGACAATAGTACAACGTTACGTACGTAAGTTTAGTTACGTATCTATG